CGGAAAATCAGCCGCTTTTCCAGAAAAACTTGCCAGCTGTCTACACTGGCCGCTTGAATTTCCGCAAAAGCACTGACTTTCTACTGTAAGAAATCAGTGCTTCTTGCGGAAATACTATGCTGCTCCCTTTCGGGCAAAAGTCTCTTTTGCGCAAAAGTTTTGCGCAAAAGGGCCAGTGTAGACAGCTCAGATTTGTTTTCCGCAAAAAAGCCCCGATCGCGAAAATGGCGACCGGGGCTTTTTTGCAGAAAAGCGCGTCTAGATTGGCCATGGACGCTTTTCTGCAAAAAGTGCTTTTGCAGAAAAGCATACGTGCCAATCTAGACGCTCTGTTCCAAAAATGCTTTTAACAGAAAACTTTTCCGGAAAATCATGCCAGTCTAGACGTAGCCATAGTGAAGTTAATGCCAGTCAAATGTTTACTATTAAGCTGGTGTGGTAAGTATTTGCAGGATGGGACCCTAAAGTTCATAGATTCACAGTATCCAAGATAAATGTTAATACTGCAATCTGACCCCCTCTGTGACAAGCCATTACGCTTAGCTCAGCTACCCAGGCACAAAGCTCTGTTTCCCTATAGAATGTTTCCCACAAAGTCGCCCAGTGCTGAGTTGAAAGTATCAAGAGATGGAGAATCCATCAATTCCTGTGGCTAATCACTGTCCCTAGCAAACATTTGTGCCTCCTCTCTTGCCTGGCTTCAGCTTTCACACTGAGCCGTATCCACTAGACCAGTGGTTCCCAATCTAGTTTTATACTGCGGACTGGTAAAGCCATTCACAAACTTTTGGCAGATAGGCAACATTTTCTTTGCATATTTATTATGCAAATAATGAATATGCAAATGAAATGTTGTCAGTCCATAATGGATCAGAGTTTGCCGATATCTACAACATAAAAAAAAATTCAGAGAAAGAATTCCCCTGTTGCTGTTGAGTGGGCGATTGGTGCAGGGAGGAGCACCCACAGCAGCAGGGAGCATTTGGGGCTCTCTATTTAGTAACTGAAATATTGTCAGGGGCATAGGAGCTGGTGCCACCTATTGCTACCACCAGTCACCTCTGCCCTCTCCCTTTCTGTCCCACGAGGCATCTGTTCCCCCCTTTCTGCATCTCAATTAGTCCTTACACCTCTAATCTGGACCCTTGCAAAAAAGGAGAGAATTCATTTTAGAAACCTGGATTTTGGCAACACAGAACAGAAAGACTGTTGGAGTGAAGAGCCCCATTGGAAAGTATTGTAACAATAGATGTAGCATGCAGAGAAACTGTGACACCAAAATATGTGATTAGAAGTACAAATATTCAAGTAAAATGCCCAATATTTGTATATATATCAAGTAATATAAAAGCGTGTACTTTGGGGTTGCAGGACGGGGAATTACTTACAGAAATACAGATTTTCATAAATTTGAAAGTACAAAGTTATTTCCCAAAGTATCTCAGAGCTTTCATATTTAATAACCTCGCCTGTAGTGAAAATTCAGAAAGCAAAATCTAAGTGGCTGGTGATGTGAAAAAGCCCCAGGCTCGGGGTGATCATATTTCCCTATGTTGGATACTGGACACCTGGTAAAATAACTCGTATTCAAGTGAGCTCAGCAGTAATCCATCAGAACTGAGCAGCACAAAAGTTCAAATTAACATCAAATCCCTGTTAAGCATAATGACTGTGCAGCTGGAGCCTTTTTATCTTTAAGATTTTAGGGTTCAAAAGGGCAAGGGGAACACCCCTCTACACCTCTCTCACATGACTGGGTGTCTGGAAGAGATGACTAGGGATGTTAAATATCAGTTAATTGAATAGTTGAGTAATCTCAATAATTCTTATTGGTTAGTTGACTATTCTATAGTCCCTGGGGGTGGGGCTGGAGCACATTGGCTGAGGAGCCCCCTGCCTCCTCACTCCTGAGGATAGCCCCTGCCCAGTGCTGGCTGCCAGGAGAGACCTGGTCTGCGAGGGTAGCTAGTTTAAAAAGCAGCTCCCCTCGCAGACCAGATGTCTGTTGCCCTGTACTGCTACTTCTGATAAAGAAGCAGTATCACAGGGTGGCAGCAGTTTCTGTCTAGGGGCGGGATCTGAGCTCCTGGACCCGGTTTGAACTGGAACTGAGCTGGGCTGCCTGCCCACCCAAGTCCTAATACACTTTAAATACAGAGCCGCAGCAGGGGTAGTTTCCGGACCCATTTCAAGCCAGGACTGAACTGGACTGCTGGCCAGCCTGCTAAAAAATGTACTAGCAAGTAGGGGTGAGGAGAAGTAATGTGTGTAGTCCAGTGGTCTCCAACCTTTTTACACCCAGGATCACTTTTTAAATGACAGAACAAGCCAACATCTATCGCTCTGCCCCTTCCTTGAAGCCCCATCCCTTCCTCTCTATTTTCCTCGTCTCCATCACTTGCCATCCTCAACACTTATACTGCTGCTTTTTTCCCCAATTCTTCTGTAGGAAGAGGTTTTTCCAACATTTGGCCTGTCTAGACTGGATCAAATGTCAGAAAAAACCCTTCTTTTGGAAGCCCCCTTATTCCTCATGGAAAGAGGAAAATAGGGATTACCGAAAGAGCACGTTTGCTCTTCCACTAAAAAAAGCGGAAGAACAAATGCCCCCTGGATGCACAAGAGTTTTTCTGGGATATCTCCAGAATCCTGCAAAACTCCTAGGCTGTGTCTAGACTGGCCAGTTTTTCTGGAAAATCAGCTGCTTTTCCAGAAAAACTTGCCACCTGTCTACACTGGCCGCTTGAATTTCCGCAAAAGCACTGACTTCCTACTGTAAGAAATCAGTGCTTTTTACAGAAATACTATGCTGCTCCCATTCGGGCAAAAGTCACTTTGCGCAAAAGGGCCAGTGTAGACAGCTGAGATTTGTTTTGTGCAAAAAAGCCCCTTTTTGCGGAAAAGCATCCGTGCCAATCTAGACGCTCTTTTCCACACAGCCCAGGGAAGTGGGTGCTGCCACCCTCCATCTTGGCAGGGAGAAAACTCTCTGTCTGGAAAACTTTTCCGTTAAAAGCATTTCCGGAAAAATCATGCCAGTCTACAGTGTAGCCTTACCCTTGCAGCCCTACAGTGTAGCCTTACCCTTGCTGGGTTGAGGCAGGATGTATAGGCTCTGAGGTGGGAATGAGGGACTTGGGTGTGGGAAGGGGTGAGAGGTGCAAGCTCTGGGAGGAAATCTGGATGCAGGAGGAGGTGGAGAAGGGGATGCTGAGTTGGGGTGGGGTCTTCAGGCTGGGCAGTGTTGGGGTCAGATGTAGGGTTAAGGTACTAAGCAAGCTACAGGCTTGTGGATATGAGGGTGCAGGAATTTGGGTTGGGGTATGTGAGGGGCTCAGAGCAGGGGGTTCCAGTGTATGATAGGTTCAGATCTAGGGTCTGGGGGAAGGAAGAGTGAAGGAGTGTTATCATGTTATGGGCAGATGGGGGTTTGTTGGCCAGGCTTCATTTTTAAATAAAATACTATGTCAAACACAAAAAGTTTCTGTATTATCTTTATTTCTGAGAAGGGCAGGGAACCTGTTTTGAGTCAGGGGTCACTGACCCACAGAAAAGTCAGTTGGGGCCACACAAGTGAGATGCAAAATAAAAACTCCTCCATCTTGGGGGGTGTCCTTCCCTCTCATCTCCCGACCCAACACACATGTGGGGGGTTCTTGTTACTTCTGTTACTGCTTGCAAAGTGTAGTATTTTTGCTTTTTGACTGGTCTGTGCATTTCATAATTTTCATTTCTCTCTTACACTTAAATTTAATTCTTTGAGTAGTGAGTTCTAAAATGCCCAACCTATCATGGCTGGAGTCATTATCCCTGTGGTAATTGGTTTCTGGAAGTGGCTGGTGTGTCCCTGCAGCCCCTGAGAAAGGCAGAGTAGGGGTTCTCCACATGCTGTCTTTGCTGGCAAACACCACTTGCTCCTGCAGCTCCCATTGATCAATAATGAGGAACCGTAGCCAGTAGAAGCAGTGGGCTCAGTGGATGAGGGGCAGCACATGGCGCAATGAAGCCATTACTGTACATGCCAGCTGCTTTCAGGAGTAGTACAGAGCCAGGGCAGGAGGAAGCCTGCCTGAACCCTACTGTTCCAACACCCAGAAGCTGTCTGAGTTAAACAGTGCCCAGCCAGATGCTGCTTCCTGAACCCCTGTCCCAGCCCTGAGCCTCCTCCTACACCCAGCCTCCTGCCCTAGACATGAGTCCCCATGCAGCCAAATTCCTTCCCAGACTTTGCACCCCAAAACCCCTCCTGGACTCCAATCCCCCACACTAAGCTAAGACCACAGCCCCTCCCACAGTCCAAACCCCTTGTCCCAAGACCAGAGGCTGCAGCCCAACCCACTACCCGAGCCTGGTGAAAGTGAATGAGGATGGGGGAGGAAGTGAGCAGGGTGAGGTCTCGGAGAAGGGGTGGAGCCTCAAAGAAGGGGTGGGAAGGAAACGGGGCAAGGGTATTTGGGTTTGCAGTAGATTTACATTGCACTTAAGTTGAAAACGTGATCTTGTGGTTAAAAAGGTTGGAGACCACTGCATTAATCTATAGGCTTTTGCTATCAATTAATTGATTAATATACTAGACTATTACATTCCTGGAGCTGACCCTGCTGCTCTCCTTTGAGCCCAGTCCTGTAAGGAGGGATGACACACTCCCCTCTCCTGGCACCTGGAATCACATTTCTCTGGGGCAGCACATGGGCACAGGGGATATGGGGGAGCAGAATGCTATGGGGCATGAAGGGGCAGGGCAGGGAGAAGATAGCAAGAGGGGGAGGATGCAAAAGGCTGATGGGGGGCTGCAGAGGGAACAAGTCACCATCTGACGCCTGGCACCTGCTCACATGGACCGGCCTATTGCTACTGGTAGTGTGGTAAGAGCTCGATGGGAATGGAATGGGGGAGGGGTCTGCTGGCTGACGCTGACACGCAGCAGAAGAATCGCGGATGGGCCAACTGAGGGAGCAGCCCACTGGCCCCCCCCGCAGCAGGCCCTGCCAGTATGGAGGGGGAGGGAGACAGAAAATACAGGACAATTTACCCAGTTTTAAGAACCCTGCAGCAGGTATTTTACCCCGGACGTCTGCTCATAAACTAGAGTCCTTGGCAGGAAGCAAAATAGCAGCTCTCCCAGGCAGCCCCCACCTACTGAATCTTACCCCATTGGGCAGCACCCACCTCTCAGGTAGGGAAGAGGTGTCTTCTCTAGGCATTGGACACCCACACAGCCCAGGGAAGTGGGTGCTGCCACCCTCCATCTTGGCAGGGAGAAAACTCTCTGTCTCCTGTCCCATATTTTTTACAAACACTGCAAATGTCACCCCTTTTCCCCCAGGGTACTGTTTTTTGGCAGGGCTCAGATCCTGTTTTTAACCATGATGCCTGTCCTAATTTTACCCTTTAACCCCTCTTGGCCCTGCAGCCAGCTGTGTCATCTCCCCACCCATTCAGTCAATTTGGCCCCTGCACAGACTTTGTCTCTCTCCCCTGCAATTTCATGCATCATCTTCCCTCCACAAACAAACTGGGGGGGGAGGGAATCTTTCACACACAAGCCGAACAGGGATTCTCCGGGCCCTAGACCCAGGCCAGGCGACGGCCGGTTTGCAGGGACTGCAGCTAAAACAATTACCTGCGTCCAGCCCCTCACCCGGGAGGGAAACACCCCCCCGGCCAGTCCCTGGGCACGTGGTGCCCAACTGGGGTGGGGGAGGGGCTGTGACTCACCATCCTGTGCTGCTTGTGGGTCAGGCTTTGGGGAGTGGGATACACCAGCTGGGAGCATGGTATGGGGGAGCTGCTCCGGCAGCGCAATGGCCTTGCCTCCGGCTGGCTCAGTGCTACCTGCTCTCTCCTCTGTTGAATTATAAAAATTCAGCTCAGTGCATGTTGCTCCATCTTTCTCTTCATCTTAGTGCTTCCTGATGCTCGTACTGGGCTGAGGGTGGGAGTGGGGCCTGAGAGCAGGTCCGAGCTGTGGAGGCACAGAGGTGCTGTAAGAGGGGACTGCAGAGTGTGTGTGTGTGTGGGAGGGGGGGGCATTTGAACACAGGATAAGGAGCCCTGGCGTCAGAGGTGCAGAGATTGGGGGGTAGGATTCTCGCTGGCGCACTTGGCTGAAGGAGCCCAATAGAGGCCCTGGCATGTACAATGAGTAAACAAAGCTTTTGGGGCTCTTTTACTGTTTAATTTTGATTTTTTTTTTGTTTTGTTTAACATCAATGCTGGTATGTATATCTCTGGACATCACGCACACTCCCCTCCAGACCTGCCCCAACATTGCTGAGTGCTGGAAAGTGAAACTACCCCGGTTCCCCAGCCCAGAGGCAGCTATGGCTGCAGAGAGCCCCGTGGAAAGTCTTCGGGAGGAACCGCTGTGTCCCGTCTGTTTGGAGGATTTTACAGCCCCAGTCTCTCTGGAGTGTGGACACAATTTCTGCCAGGCTCCCCTCAGCTGTCAGTGCAGAGACACTGAGCAGCATGGACCCAACCGTCAGCTGGCAAACATGGTAGAACTAGCCAAGCCACTGAGTTTCCAGGCAGCAGAGAGAGCAAGATGTATGGGGACCACCAGAAGGCTCTGAAGCTGTTCTGTGAAGAGGATCAAACTCCTATCTGGGTGGTGTGTGACAGATCCCAGGTTCACACAGTGGTGCCCATACAGGAAGCCTCCACAGGAGTACAAGGTACAGAGTTGCTGTCCTGTGTAATGGGAAATAAGGTTGGGTTTTAATTACAAGCTAATTTTACTGACTGTTACCTGGCACAGGTGTGACACAGGTGTGGCACAGGTGTGACACCGCTCTGTAAATCCTTCATGATATATGAGATGCTGTAAAAAGTAACTGCTCTGGCTTTGTGACAACTTACATCAAGTCTTTACAGATACTTGATGTGGGAAACATTTCTCTGAGACTCTGAATCCTGAAACCCAGTTCCCACTGGTGACAGGAGGGGTTTTTGCACAAGGGAAGGTGTTAACAATCAGAGAGGTTTAGATCACAGGATCTGCAGGGCCACTCTATATGAGCGAGCTGCCTTGGGACAGGAGCCCAGGAGTTTACAAGCTGTTACTGTTTGGAATAACAGCAGTAATAATCTGTCAATTTCCTTATAGACCCCCCCAATGGTATCTGAGCCCTGCACAACACCCAGCAAGGGACAATCCCTGCCCTAAGCAGGTCACAGACTAGTTAGACAAATGGTGGGAAGGAAAAGTGGGGCAGCAAGTTGCTCATGGTCACCAAGTACATCAGTGATGGGCTGTGTCTACACTGGGCCACTTATTCCGGAAAAGCGGCTGATTTCTTACAGTAGATTGTCAGTGCTTTTCCGGAAAAGTATCCTGCCAATGTAGATGCGCTTTTTCCGGAAATACTATGCTGCTCCTGTTCGGGCAAAAGCACTTTTTCTGGAAAACTGTTCCAGAAAAGGGCCAGTGTAGACAGCTGGCAAGTTATTCCAGAAAAGCGGCCGCTTTTCTGGAATAACTTGCCAGCTGTCTACGCTGGCCACTTGAATTTCCGGAAAAGCACTGACAATCTACTGTAAGAAATCAGCCGCTTTTCCGGAAATACTTAAAACAGAACAGTTTTCTGTTATAAGTATTTCCGGAAAAGCGGCCGCTTTTCCGGAAATACTTAAAACAGAACAGTTTTCTGTTATAAGTATTTCCGGAAAAGGGTGCCAGTGTAGATGTAGCCTATAGAGTTTAGCCCAGAACCCCGGTCGCTGTCCAAGGTCCTAACTGTTAGGCTACACTGCCCCCTGCCCCTCAGCATCACTGAATAGTGTTGAAGTGTGATCCTTAGGAGGGAAAGACGCCTTGATAAAGCCCCAGACCCAGCAGGGAGAAGAGGTTTCCCACTGGGATGCTGAGCTCCTGTGATGCTCCAAGAGAGGTTAAACTCCAATGCTGCAGCGAGTTCTAGAAGAGGTCACTAGGCTGGACATTGTGTGGGGCCCAGATACCTTGAGTCCAGCCACAGCAGGGCTTCAGGCAGCGCAGGTCCATGTTAGAGACCACTGAGATTCAGCTGGGTTGTAAAAAGAGTTCCAACTGGTCAACTGATGAACTAATGCTTATCGGTGCTAGTTAACAGTTAAACTTCCCACTGCCCTTGGCAGTGCCTGCTTTCCCCAGCAGCTAATGTCAGTTTGCAACTGCTGGGAAGTCCCCACCTATCAGCAGTCCTTGTGGCTGACCCCGTGAGAGAGCCCTGCCCCCAGGAGAGCTCATGTCCACTACTGGCCTTGTCTTTCAGTAGGTTAAAAAATACTGTCACTGCTTAAATTGTAATTGGTTACATGATAAGTTGTCTTAAATCTTTTTACCTCCCCAATCCCTACCTGCATCATTCTTTACAAAGGTGCCACCACCGATCCATCCCCCACCCTCACAGGCGTCCTGCTTCATTTGCAGTCTCCTCCTGTCTTTTTTTTTTCTATGGACAAAGCCACGTCCAGGGCTGAGTCCCTGCCGGACAGGGACAGAGCTCCACAAAACTAGGACTGTCTTAAAGGCAGACAAATGGGCTCCAGATATCTCGGGGTTTGCCCTGGTGCTTATTTCTGTTTCTTCAGGAAAAATTGGAGACCCATTTGAAGACCCTGAGGGAAGAGAGAAAAAAGCTGCTGAGAAGTAAAATGAAAGCAGAGGGGAAAAGCCAGGAGTATCTGGTAGGTGCCTGAGGTTATGAACCGGCAGGGACTGGCAGTGGGAGGGCTGTGTTAGGAGGCAGTCTCCTGTGTGGCCTTGGTGAGGTTGGGTTTGTTTGTGTTTCTCCTAGATCATGGGTTGCTGGGTTAGATCCATGTGTAGACCTCCTCTAAGCTTCCATGTCAGTGGATGAGTTGATGTCCAGCTCTTGTGGCTTTCCCAGAAGTCCTCCCCAAGGGAACTGAATGTGAAGGGCTGTCTGCTCATTTGGTGCATTAACATGTTTGCTGCTTTTTCCTCCCTGGGTATTTCTGTCAGCTTGGTACTGAATCCTGCTTCCTGCTGCTCTGGGTCTGAATTCCCAGAGCCCATGAATAACAGAACTTGCTGCCCATGACAGACATGGGGACATCCTTTTCAGAGGGACACAGGGCCAAAGGAGATGCTGGAAAAGAGGCCTCTCCCTAGTACCTGCAGAGTAGAGTCAAATGTCACAAATTTTAGGGTTTTCCAAGAAGTTCTCCCTGCTGCACACTCAGTTCCCCATGAAAGGGACCTGGACTCCATCTGTGCCCCTGACCAGCCCTTTCCCTGTTTTCATACAGAAACAGACACAAGCAGAGAGGCAGAGAAGATTGTGGCTGAGTTTCAGCATCTGTGGCAGTTTCTGGAGGAACAAGAGGAATTCCTGCTTACTCAGCTGCAGAAGCTGGATGAGGAGATTGGGAGGCTTCAGACTGACACTGTCAGGAGACTTTCCATGCAGATTTCCTATCTCATTGTGCTGTGCAGTGAGCTGGAGGGGAAGAGTCAGAAGCCAGTGAGTGAATTCCTACAAGTGAGACTGAGGAAGAAACATCCTAGCTCACCACACAGGGAAGGGAGGCTCCTGAATCACAAGTGCTGGGGTCCAGCTATCAGATCTTGGTGTAACACCTTGTGCATTGCTGACATGTGAGTAACTGTTGTGCTTTGCATAGTTACAGGCACAGAGCTATTAAAGATGGCAAAACCCCGTTAGTTCAGGTAATCTATGGCCCTGGGGTCAGGACAGAGGCTCTTTCCCCATATTTGTAAAATCCCTTCCTTGGGGTTCCCTGTGTGTGTCCAATGAGGCTGAGATTCTTTTCTGTCTCTTTTCTCTAGGATGTGAGAAGCACCTTGAGCAGGTATGTGGCTCTCACTCCTCTCTCACTGCACAGTGCAGGAAAAGAGCTTGGAGCTGATGTTAGCACCACATCTCCACAGAGCCCTACAGCCAGATGTTGGATACAAATGTCTCTGACTCATTTAATTCTGAGGGTCTCATCTTTGCACAACAGACTCTGGAATTCTCCATTCAGTGGCAAAGTCTGTTGTCAAGTACAGTAAAACTCCGTTGGTCTGGCATCTGATGGTCCGGCACTCCTGATAGTCCAGCACCATCAGGAACCCGGTAGTGCTCCGGGCAGCCGGACCATTAGAGCTGCTCTGCCCCCAGCTTCCTCGATTCAGCCGCTGCTAAAACTGACCAGCGGCTGAATCAGAGAAGCCGGGGGCAGAGCAGCTGGAGTGCTGCCGGGTAGGTCCTGTAGCACTGCCCCTCGGGGCTGTGAGACCAACCCGGCAGCACTCCAGCTGTCCCCAATTCAGCTGCTGCTGAAACTGACCAGCGGTTGACTCCCGGAAGCCCGAGGCAGAAGAGCTCTGCCCCGGGCTTCCTGGAATCAGCTGCTGATCAGTTTCAGCAGTAGCTGACTTGGGGACACCTGGGACAGAGCAGCTGGGGTGCTGCCAGGTTGGTCCCCGCAGTGCCCAGGGGCGGCACTGCGGGGACCAACCCGGCAGCGCCCCAGCTGCTCTGTCCCAGGCGTCCAGATTCAGCTGCTGTTGAAAATGATCAGCGGGCGGGTTCCAGGAACT